CATGCTGATCGGTTCCTTCATCCACTGGAGTTTGCAGAGAAGTTGAAGACGAGGGGTTCTGCACTCCTGCAGCAGCAGTGACCTGTTGATTTACGCTTGCGCTGCTCTGCCCCTCGGGCAAGAAAGCACTAGAGAGTCCAGCGTAAGCACTGGGATTATATTCTCCAAACGTTGGCCCGATTGGCGATGTTACGTGGCTCTGAAAAACGTGGGGAACCTCCAGAGTATGTGGGTGATGGAATCTTCCGCCCTCAGAGGCTCCCTCTTGCCTAACATCTGCCTGCAGAGATACAAGATGGGCGCGGTCTGGGCTAGCCTGGATATTCATCTGCTGACTTGATGATACACCCCCAAAGTGTACTGGATTCGGCAATTCCATGGCTGTTGGCAAGCCTGGGACTACATGCTCATCGCTGGCTGCGAAAGAGCTACCTAAGCCCAGGTTCTGAAATTGTGAAGGCGCGCTCGTAGGCCATGGAGGTGCAGTGGATGTAGATCCCTCATTCGCCGTGGTGAACGGGCTACCACTGTAGGGTGGCAACACTGAAGAGCCCTGCCACAATTCGGAAGGCCCTTCAAGGGGCATTTGATGAGCTTCCTCAACAGAGTGCGGCCAACCCTGGTCATAATCTCCCTGCACAAGCGAAATCGGGGTAGGCTCGAAGAACTGTCCTCCCTCTGATTGCTGGAAACTTCCCCACTCTGCGGAGGATGGAACCGCTGGGATTGTCTGCTGGCTTTGCTGATAGGGTGTAAGCAATTGCCATGACGAATGCCGCTCCCACTGTCCCTCTGGCGGAACGGCTGCAGTTTGCGGGCCGACACTGATCTCCTCCTCCATATCCAAACACATCTCAATAATGGTTGAGAGGTCGAGGTCTTCCTCCGGTGCAGGCTCTCTACCTGCCAACCGTCGCGACAAATCACCCCGGCCTCCCAAGTCGTAGCAAAAGCGGAAGAACTTCAGCGTGACTGCCACAACTGCCAGCACGGATAACAGTCCAGCACATATTCGACACGTGCTGGAGGGATGCCGTCCAGCTCTCGCCGTTTTGGGATCCGCATACTTGCCCAAAGCGTTGCTGAGAGGGGATAAATGTCTGTCGAACGCGTGCGTACCGGGCGGAGGACCGGAAGCAACCTGCATAGCTGAAGGCGGATGCATGATGAGAATCCTGCAGGCTATATGTTGGGCTTAATGGCTCTATCTCTAGTTTGAATAAGCAACTCGCACTCAAGGCAGCCGTCAACCAGGTACTGGATTGTGCCACTCGCCGGCGAGGAACTCACAGGAATGGAGGCAAGAAGTTGTAAATAGCCCATATAATACATCCAAAACTAACAAAACGCAGCAATTAGCGCATTTACAGCTGCGAGACGCCGCAGGCCTTGACAGGACCAAGACTGCTGGAGCTGGGGGTCAATGGTCGCTCTTGGCCAGAACCTGTAGGCAGTCATAGGATAGCTACAGGCTATACACTGCATAATTCACACATTTTCGGCATAGTTTTCACAGACAGAAACAACAAAAGATTGAAGTGGACAAAGCCAGCCCCATCGGGGGTCTCCAAGCTGAGTGAGGTCAGCTTTCTGGAGACACAATCGACCATTGGTCGCCCATGTGCTGGCGGGCTGGGGTCGATTGCCGTCATTCAACTCCCCAAACGTATTTC